AATTTCTTTAATATGCTGTAATATGTAAGAAAAAAATAGAAGTTCAAAATAGAATTACTGTATTTTAAAAGTGCATGAATCAACTAGATCAACTTTCTGGGTTGTGTTTACATGTTCTCCTTGTGCCTGAGTGGGTTTTCTCCCCTCTCACAGACCGAAATCATATTTAATAAAACTAATATGACATAAAAAAGCAACATATTTCCTCTAAGGAAGAAGGTTGCTAGATCAAATTTCTGGGTTGTGTTTACATGTTCTCCTTGTGCATGAGTGGGTTTTCTCCCCTCTCACAGACCGAAATCATATTTAATAAAACTAATATGACATAAAAAAGCAAATAACTTAATGGTTTGGGATAACACTACTGTAGATGTAGTTTGTAATTGTGCTTGTTTTAGTCTTTATTTCGAGTTTTGGGGTTTTAAAATCACAGTTTTTCTTCACAAAAGTAAACATCAACAAGCAAATAAAACTTTTAACATACATAGAAAAGGTGGCTTTAAAATTTAAAAAGCGTGTTCCTTGTAAATGTCTTTAAATATATATATTTTGACATTTTTTAATAAACCACCATGGTAGTCCTAGACACCATGATAACATCATATGACATGCTTATAACCAATCACAGATCGACTAATGTACTGTCCAGCCAATCACAGGGCTCTCAGCTCAAAGAGTTTCTTATCAAACAAGAGAGTTAAGTCTGTTGCGGAGTCCTGTTGTCTGGGCCAACACAGATTAACATTGAACATGAGATATATGAATACTGGACAGCTTCAAGGTGAAACAGACAGATAATTAGTCCATAACAAAGACAGACATCACAGCAATATTTTTTGAAAGGAAGTTTCGCCAACACATTTAAAATTTAATTAATTTGAACCCCCACATTTACCTTAAAATATTAGTTCATCCAGTGTTGTTTCTCTTGCTTAACAAATAAATTTATTCCACTTGACTTATAGAATACTAACACCAAGTGTTTTCTTATGTAGGTAAAAGTCTGTTTAACAACCTGTTAAAATACACCAGAATGCAGGAAATGGCATTTACTTCCTTCAAAATTTTTCTGGGGGAGGACCCTCAGACCCCCCCACCCCCACCAGTGGGTCCCCCCCAACATAACAAATACTTCTGATGCCACTGAAATATGTAATAATGTATGGATAACTTACGGTTCTCCATGCGTAAAGATACAGAAAAAGTTAGAAATGCGCTGTTTTGGAAGTGCAGATAGTTTGGCGTCTTGTTTTTTTTTATTTATTTACTTATTTTTTGTCTCTGAACATCACAAAATCAGTAATATTATAATTGAACATCTGCTGGCAAATCCATAGCTTTTTTGCCATAGTTTTCAAATTGTCATTTTTACAACCACATTATAACATTTCTGTTATAGATATTAGTTTTGGTGTGCCACCCCTGGTTTTTCAGTGCCCCCACCCCATGGCCCCCCCTGAAAAAAATTCTGCAGGTGCCACTGCGCAGCTGAGCTGTGATTCTCGTCAGAACCACATCCAGTTTGCGAATTATATCCACCCAACATTTGAGTTTGTGTGTTTCCAACACGAGAGATACTCTCTATTGTTCCTGACAGCTYTTCAAAGGCCCGGACTGCTGTCAGGATCGCTTTCAATTTCCGATAAGCCAGGACTCCCCCACAGCCGATCGGCAGGAATCCAGTTATCATGAGTCCAAATATGAACACATCTTCAAAGTCTTCAATGGAAAGCTGCGCCAAACAGATGAGGTTCCAGCCGCCACCGTTCCACTGGGACAGCTGCGCTCCCCACGCTCCAATCTCAGTGTGGAAAAAATAGTGTCGACTGCATCCAGAGACCAGTTGACCAAATCTTGGCTTGTTAGAAGTCTTCAACTAGTGATGTTGGAGGTTTCAGATTATTTTGTGGGTTAAAAGCTAAAACGTTTTATATGCTATAATAAAACTTCAAATCTTAATGCTTCATGTTTCCTTCTATTTCATTCTTCTGCTCGTGTCCTCCCAGATTTCAGGCATGTCTGTATTTAGCGGCGGTCTTCCAGGCCACAGCGTGTGGAATCCACTACCTGTCCTCCGTCTTCCTGGTCGAGACGCCCAACTTCGTGTGCGGCGTGCCCGGCAACGTCACCGGCGTCCTCTACGGCAACATCACGGGCTCATGTCTGGAGGAAATCCTGCCGCTCGCCGGGTCAGGGAGCGGGCCTCTGGTGGTGAGGACGGCTGAGGGGGAGCAGTGGGAGCTGAGCCGGTGCCGCTGCGCCCTGCGCTCCGACCCCACAGACTTCACGTACGAGTTCAGCGGCAACAAAACAGTGAGGGAGTGCGGAGGCAACTTTGTTTACGACCACAGCGAGGTCCACCAGAGCATCGTGACCGACTGGGACTTGGTGTGCGACAAGGAGTGGCTAGCCAAGCTGTGCCAGCCCACCTTCATGCTGGGCGTGTTGATCGGAGCGCTGGTGTTTGGGGACGTTGCCGACAGGTAAGGACCGAAAACCAGAAAACTGCACCTTATGTCCTTCACCCAGCCGGACATGTCGGCTTCTTCTCAGGCCGAGAGTGTTTTTAAACATAAATACATAAGAGCTGATGAATTCATAAAGGTGATTCCCACRAGAGTGAATGAGAAACTAACTGAACAACAAAATTAGGAAGAAGGGGAGCGGAGCATTCTAGAAACATGTGCAGAGATTAGACAGATGAGATGACATGACCAAACAGCTGGTCCACCCTCACCCCCCAACAGACCCCAGAGAGAGTGCTTTAAATAAAACCCCCATTAACCAGACTGAATACATGTTGTCACTCTGTTATGTAACCATTAGTGGGATTTCACTGACATATATACAGTATATATACTCAAGTTAAAGGATCCCCGATTAGTTGTAACATTAGACTTTATATGATAAACATTTACTTTAACTGTAAAATAAAGACTGTAAAAATACTGTAGGATRTTCAGTCTTTATGATTTTTAAACTAGAAGTTTAAAAATATATTACACGGATGGGGCCATTTTATTTACATGCAAAGCATTCTGGGTAAATGATGACATCAAATAGGTCATCGGTGCAAGGCTGCTAGCGAGCTATATCCACCCTGAAGGTTAATGTTGGACAATATTTTGCTAACCAGAATTTTTAAGAACAGTTTGTAGCTTCAATCCATCCAACAGCATGATGTCAGACTCACAACTGAGGAATTCAACAACAGTAGCTCATGTTTATGAATTATTTCTCCAAACGTAGTTATTTTGTTGTTTCGGTGTCCGTCCTGTGTCTCTGTAATCTCTCCTGGTTGTGTGTATTTTTTTCCMACAGAGTCGGTCGTGTGAAGATCCTGATGTTTACCAGCTTCTGTCAGTTTGGACTCGGGCTGTTGGTGGCGTTCTCCTTAAACTACTATTGTTTTGTGGTGCTCCGCTTTTTGCTTGCAATGGTGAGACCAGTGTAAAAAGTATTAATAATAATACTACACACACTTTGAAAAAGATAAAAAAAATTCACTTCCGGACTTCTTTTTAGCACAAGCAGTAGAGATTTCCTCCCAAAGTCTCAACGTTTCAGCAGCGAAGTTCACTCTGAGTCACGTTTCCAGCTGTTTTCCTATAAAACATGTTTTAGGCTAAAGGTGTAACTTATAACATGCTAGAACAAAACGTCTCTTGTGCTTGTTAAAATGGCACCAAAAAGTGCTTCTAGCAGAATTTTTGAGTTCAAATTGACGTTTGTTTTGCACATTCTTTGGCTCCAAAACATGTGGAAGCTGAAACAAAATCACCTTTTAAAAGTCCTTTGAAGGTCTGCTACATCCTGCAAGCATCACGCTGCAAATGGATCAGTCACTTTTAAAAGGAACCTCGACGTTATTTGAAAAACATTTGCTTCAAGTAAAACAAAGACTGCAAAAATAATGTAGTTTGTTTAGTTTTTTAAGTTGAAAAAGCCACATAATTTTTTAGTACGTAGCTCGTTTTGCACTTTTTGTGCTATTTTTAGGATTTATACGTCCAAAACTTTCWGCTCCTTCAGGACATTGCTGCTATGACTTTTTAATTTGTTAGAAATGTAYACTTTTTGAGATATTTAGCTTTTTCTTCCAGATATTTCTCTTTGAAACTCTTTAAAATTTGCAAATTTTAGTGCTTTTTTCCCCTTTGTTAGCATTCATTCTGACTTTTTTTGCTGTTCTTCTGCTAATGTAAACATTTTGTGCTTATTACAGCTTCTTTCTGCTAGTTTTTTATCTTTGCTCAATTCAGCTGTTTGAGTTTTTAGCTACTTTTGATCTAATCTATCTAATTATGAGATACAAGTTTTATTTTTTTTATCAGGGTGGCGGAAATGGGCTTCCATAAAAAATACTTTATTTGCCATCAATGCATGTGATGATGATATGATGATGGAATCTGTGCTCTGAAGTTGACTCAGCACACAGGAGAATCACCCAAGTGGAGCAGCAGGCAGATATTTAAACAAGTCGAACCTGTGACTTTTTAGTCCCAAGTCGGCTGCCTTACCGCTTCACCACAGCCGCCTCAGCTATTTTAGGCTAGTTTAAGCTTTTTTAGCTATTCAGCAAAAATCTTTCAGCCTTAAGCGCATTGGATTTTTGCAGGAAATGCAAACTATAGGTGATGAGTGTAAAACTTTGGGGTGTGTGTGTGGGGGGATAATTTTACTAGGCTAAAATCAAGGCAAATATT